AGGCAAAAAAGTGCAAATACATAGCTAGCATTGCTGCCATGAAATGATGCTGAAGAAAGACAACCTACCGCAACCTTGTTAACTTGCGGAATCAAGAGCTTAGGAAGGGGCAACAGAGATTATGCAAGGCCATCAGTTTACTTATGACCCAGCCCAAACAAGAGAATACTCAATGAGGAAGGGGATTTCGGAAAACACATGACAATAGCAAATATAATGCAAACTTAAACGACTTTGCTTTTACTTTTCAGTAAGTCTTATTCTGCACAGCTCCCAGACCTTCACCCTTTCATTCTAAAAAGGGCAACCAACCATACAAATATGGGAAGCAAAGGAATTCTGTTTCTGAGCATATTTTAAAGAGCATGCACTGGCAGCACTGGGCAAAACGGACAAAAAGAAACCAGAAAAAAACCTAGCCAAAACCTGACATGAATACGTACTTTGGGGAGTACCTCAGGTGCGTTTAACACATAGTGGCCAGCAGCATAACTAAACAAAGCCAATGCATTGTGAACAACAGAGTAACACTCTGAACGACGGTAAGCTCCACACAAGCTAATACCTGAGCATTCAAAGTACATACAGAGACAACACCTAATGCCCAACAAATACAGTGGAGGGGAAAAAAAGAAGAAAAAAGCATTTGCAAAACAGAAGAAAAAGAAGACACTAACAGGACATTCATGTTAATCTTGCAGAGAATCCACAGCAATTTTATCAATTTTTCCAAGTCCAAAACCCCCTGCTTGCACACTAGAGCTGGAGTTACAGATGAGGTAGAAAAGAACATACTTGATTAGCTCAGAGGGGGACTCACTTCAGACAATATTACAGTAACATCCGACAATCACACGCTTCTGCTGTTTGGAGAAACATTGCTGCTTCTCAGCACAAGCAATTTTCTAGAAACTCCTCAATGTCCAGGGAAACATCCCTGTACACATAAAGCAGGAAAGGCTTGATTCTTATTTGGCTATGTCCAGTCAAATCACTCCTCCTCAAATAAATGTAAAATTTAATGTAAATGTAAAATTCACTCGAAAGAGACATGGGAAAGGTTAGGCTGCCCTATGCAAGGCAGGCAGAAACACACTGAGTAACTACCTTTTCTGTCTCTCTGGGATTGACATGAATAGTAACCAGTAAGACTGAATAGCCTGTAACGTATTTTGCAGTGATTTTACTGTACAGTAAGTCTGTGCAAGCTTCTACTTGAGCAGACTGCTTAAGACTGCTCCCTCTCATATGCTCACTGCATTTTTATTTTTTTTAAAGAACACTCACAATTTTTTAACACTGTTTTGTGAAGAAACAGTATTTGTTTTCCTCTCACAAAGAATTAACACCTTTGCCTCTACCCTATTAACTCACCACATCAAAGGTGCAAGTCAGCTATCAGTTACATCTGCTACCCAAATATTCAAAATTTCATACTAAACCTGTCCTCAACTACATGGCAGCTCAATATGCACTGCCTGCGCCAGGATGCTCAAAGATCCACAGCCAGCCTGCCATTTTTGTGGCGGTTGTAATGCTTCTTTTTTAGTCTGCCACCCTGTTACACGTAACACAAAACTAGCTGACACAGGCCATCCGTAACACGCTTCCTCCCATTCTTCAACCCACTAAAAGATGTGCTGCAGTCACCCTAAATCTACCGAGCCTTTGCAACTTTTCTCTCCAGTATCTTGGGAAATGAGAGACATAAAGGCTACACAGGGTCCCCAACAGCCAAGTCACTATTAACTTCACAGTGCTTTGTGATCTGAATTGGACAGCAAGAAACATCCCCAGGTTGTCAGGTTCTCATACAAGTGACACAAACATTCATATTCCCCTACCACTATGGTTAGGGAAACAGCACAATCTACCAATTCACATCTAAATGGTGGGGAAAAAAAAAAATTCTGTGGCAGGATAAGGACAGAAGAGACAGGTTGTGCAACCCCTGCCTACCTCATCAACTTGGGGGAATGCATTTAATGAAGGCATCTGTAACACCAAAAAATCTGTGTAGCAGGACATCAGTATGGACCTGTCTACCCTGGAAACGAATAGAAGCTTTTGTTCCAAATTCTCCAAGAAGGTTGTTCAATGAACAAGAGCAATCCTGAGTTCCCGATGCCCAAAGAGCTACTTTTACTTACTTCTGCATCAGAGAAAAAGCAAAGCAGCTCTCATTAACGGGTTGTGTGAACCATGAGTTAGTAGGAACATCTACTCCAGACAAAAAGCTTCTGCCTCCAAGGGCAGGATTCTCTTCCAATTTCTTTCCTACCTGTTTCATGATCTGCTTTCACTGCTTGAGGCTGGTTTATCAAGCCCTTGAACTTGCTCTTGAGCGTACTGGTCAGTAAATGCCAACAACAGCTGGCAATGTGTACTTGCTGCACCCCTTTTCCTCGAATGCCCAGGTGAATGATGTTTCTGCAAACCAATCACCCCTTCCTAGAACCACCACGACTGCCAGAGGATCATTCAGCACGAGTCTGCAAGCAGGAGCAGCAGGGAAACAGAACAGCTGCAAGAAAAACTGACTACAGAGCAAAGTAGGAGAAACTGGTATCCCAGAGCACACTCCAGGAATAATCTGCGAGGCAGTGAACAGAAAGCATGCAGCTGCTCTCTTCAGCTCTTCACCTCTTTCGCCGATACAGCACATACTTGCAGGGCACACCACCCAGTGAAAATGCAAGTGAATTCTCGAGGAAAGAGCTGTATTACTGTTACTTGTCATCAACTGTTTGTTGGTAAACTTCCTACTACAAAGCAAGCCCTTAATAACACAGCTATCTTCCCTGTAACCCAACCTTTAATAACCCATTTTTATATGATACAGTACAATTAAAAATCCCACAAGACAACCACCATAGCTGACTCTGTACTCAAAAATGTCAGCATACTTACCAAAGCTTTCGTGTTCAGTCTTCCATGAAGTAAAAGCCCAGGTGTGACAGGAGAGATTGTGCATTACATACAGACCTACCCATTTTTTTAAAAATATATATACTCCATACATGAGACACAGCAGGCTGTTAACAGAGACTGGACATTGTAAAAACCAAAGTTACAAGTATTATGTTTAATTCTACACTTAATTCTCTGCTAAGAATACAGAAGGGAAGCGAGATGAAGGTAGATTCCATGAGCTGATGCGCAGTCTAACAAATTACTGAAACGCATTTGGAAGGATTTCTTTGGAAAAATTCTTCATTTCTGTGAGGGTCAGAGAGATGGGCCAAACCATTACAATCAGCTCACATGCAAATTCACCCACCCATTTCCACTAATGCTCTCACAACTGGGTAATACAGTGGTCATGTAACTCAAGCTCTTGCTCTTCTGGGCAGAGAGGGTTGGACTTCACACAAAAATACCGTTCAGCTAACAGTGGATTCAACTAATCCAATGGCACACATTTTATGATGTGAATTCTGTTTCTACACCCCTAGATTAAAAAAAAAACAAAACAAAAAACAACTCTAAACCTTAATCCATGGTTGAGTAAAAACACAAATACCATAGACCAAAGTGCTATACAGTTAAGTCAGCTATGACATTTTAGACCTGTTTCAAAAAAATGGCTTATAAATGAGCTGATTTATACATACAAACAAGTCCATTGTGCCCAGAAGTTTCCTAACATTTTTATTAAAAACAAAAGAGCCAAAAGATTGCCCTGATACTCTTCATTGTTATAAAGCAGACTCTGAAATATTAAGTGAACTACGTATGAGCAAAGAACTCCAACTGATGCAGAGTTTAAAACTAGGTTTACAATTTCCTATTTTATTGGCATGGATGTATTTCTAAACTTAAAAACCTTTCTGGCAAGTTATCTCAATTTCTTATGACAAAATTTCTCACAACACACAAATATTTACAACATATACATATTTTTTCAGTCTTTTACAACTGGTTCTTAAAAGACAAACAATTTATAGGTTACCACAGAACAAAAGCTGTGACTTAGTTGTTTTTAATTTCATAAAACTATCATAAGTTAAAGTGAATAATTTTCTTTAAATTCCTTGTAGCATTTTACAAGTGCAACAGAAAAATATGAAGAACCAATTTAGGATAGCTGCAGTTCATTGAATAAATGTTGCCCGTTGTAATCACATTATTTCACAGCAAATTCTTGAAAAAATAAGCACCAATCATTCTTGCAAAGAACAATTTTATCTAAAAGTATTGAAAAGTGTTAAATACAAGGTGTTTAATTTACATAACAAGCAATAAATACACCATATCCAAACTTTTATTCTGCATACTGCTACCCTTGTACATATAATGTACTAAAAAGTCAGCAAATTATCAACACCTTTTCTTTTTTTTTTTTTTTCCTCTTTTTTTAAAGAAATCAATTTGACTTCCAACCAACGGTTTGCTACTGTAACAAAGGCCACAAACAGTACGTCTGGGACAGCATACAGTGTTAAAACTGACAAACTCCAAGGGGGAAAAAAAAACATCTAGCAAATAAATCAAAAAGCTGTAGATCATTGCTGGTGATATTAGCATATACTAGAAAACCTTAATATGCTGCTACTATGATTTTTTCAAATTGTTTAGTCAAATATCATAAGAGCAAACTAATGCTCTTACTGATCAAAAATAATTATGTAGCCACACTGTATTCTCATTGTCCTGCATGGAAAGATTTGATGCAATTTCATAACTTTGCTTGAGCCTTTATTTTACAACAGAGCATTACCTCTAACTCAGAATTGCACATAAGAAGGCTATTAAAAAGTACAATAAAAATCTGCACAAATCAGACTTAAGAAGAGTCAGTATGCTGTACACTTTCTACAATATTACGTTGATAGGTGAATAGACAATAAAGAAGTGCTGCCACTAAGTTTTTCAGAAAGTTCTTCAGTTGAGGAATAATCAAATGGAATTTTTGTTTTTGGTGTTTGTTTTTTTTTTTTGTTGTGGGTTGGTTTGTTGTGGGGTTTTTTGTTTTTGTTTTTTTTTCCATTTTTTTTTTAAATTTTTAATTTTTTTTTTTTTTAAAAATGACATCCAGGTCAGTTTACGACCTATAAGCTTATGCATTGAGCCTTAAAGACTGATCTTCTCTCCTCCTGGAAGAAATATCAATATCTATTGAATCCTTGCCAACAATAAGCCTTAATCTCTTCGCTGGAGGAAGAGGAATAAAGTCATCAAATTCATCATCATAGTCATCTTCCTCTTCATCATCCTCTTCTGATGAGGATTCATCTGCTGTTTCCTCTTCATAGTGACCATAATTGTCTACTTCCATTCTTGACTCCAAAAGGGAAAGAGTTTCACTACAACACATACCATTTTCATGAAGGTCCTCAGGGTATGTCCCTCTGTTTTCTTCCTCTCGTTTTAGCTGTATTTTTAATTTTGTTGAACTATTGCCTGATCCTGAGTTAAACCCATTATTTAGCTTTGCTACATATAAATTATTATCTTTTTCATGGTCTTTACTTAATTTGATGCTTATTTTCGAAGAATTCATTCCATCACTTTCTTGGTCATTTGCCTTGCTACTGCTATCATGGCGTCTACGAAGAGTCAGTTTAGGGATCCCAGAGCTATTTTCAAGGATAAGCTGTGCATCATACCTCGTGATTCGTCTTTTCTTTTTACTTTTTGCAGTTCTAAAGCTGTCTTTTGCTTTAAAATTGTCAGATGTTACAACAGAGCAGCCACCAGATCCAGGGATACAGTCTTTATAGCCAACAGGTGTGTCCACCACATTATTCCTCTCTCCGAGCTCTGAATGTGAACTAATCAAATCTGGTACTTCATCTTTCACAGGTGTATTGTGCATAGTATCAGTTTCTTCTGTTTTTGCAGATGGTTTCACAAGTTTTCCTTGTCGAGATTTCTTTTTTGACATGCTTGCATCACTTTTCTGGCACCTAATCTCCCCTTTATGTGATGGTCCATGAGCCACATTATTTTCATTTACCACATGAGACTGCTGCTCTAAAATGTCTGATTGCGTTCCAGTCAAATTATTCTTATAGCTATCCAATGTATTTGGTTCAAGCTTTAAGTCAGAGGTCTCCTTCAAATTCATCCTTGTTCTCATTGACCTCCTTGTTATATATGTGCAGGGTGGTATATCACCATGCTCATGAGCACCTTTCACAGAATTCAGTTTATGTTCTCTTGCTGCATGCCTTGTTAAGCATCCACTAGAGACTGCAACTTTGACTGGTCCCTCCAATTCTTTATCCTTTTTAATGGGCAAGTTTTTATACAAAACTACTTTAGGCTCTTTGAGAACTAGATTTCCCATTTCGAGCTTTCTAGAAGCGTTCTTTTGCTCTGGCCTTTTGCACTGATTTCTCAACTTTATCTTTGAAAGTAAAGGCTTTGCAGGCTTTTTCAGTCTCTTTGGTACCCTGGAATTATTTATATGAGTTAGTTTAGATGAGGTAGAATTTGACGATGCTGGAATTCTTGATATAGACTGTCTTGTTAATGTTCTATTTTTGCTGTTCTTTTTTACGCCAATTGAAGATTTTCTGTTAGCTGCAAAAGAAAAAAGTGGTTTTGTTATGACACTGCTTTATCCTGAGTTTCCCACTCCCAAATACTGCAGTTATTTCATTTATTTTAAACACTTCATCAAAATCTGTGAAACATGCTAGACAGTACTCAGTAAGGAGCGAGCTGCTTAACTTGCAACTCCGACATGAAAGGAATTGTCAAACAAGTCAAAAGTACACCTAAAATTCCTTCCCTCACTGCCACCAATATACCAAGTTTAGTTTTTACTTAATTTCTTCTTCTACCATTTTTTTAAAAAAATCCATCCCACATTGTCCACAGTTTTTAGTGAGTATTATTGAAGAAAAATCTGAGGATCAGCATGCTCTAGTACTAACCCCAGAATTTTTTCCTACAGAGGGAGGACCCCCCCCCCCCCAAACCTTAAGTACTGTAATGGTGTCCTGGTTTCAGCTGGGATAGAGTTAATCTTCTTTCTAGTAGCTGGTACATCGTTATGTCTTGGGTTCAGTATGAGAATTATGTTGATAACACACTGATGTTTTCAGTTGTTGCTAAGTAGTGTTTGTACTAAGTCAAGGATTTTTCAGCTTCTGATGCCCAGCCAGCAAGAAGGCTGGAGGGGCACAAGAAGTTGGAGGGGACACAGCCAGGGCAGCTGACCCAAACTGGCCAAAGGGATATTCCATACCATGCAATGTCATGCCCAGTATATAAATAGGGGGTAGTTGGCTGGAGGAGTGGCTTGCTGCTCTGGAACTAACTGGTCATCAGTTGGCAAGTGGTGAGCAATTGCATTGTGCATCACTTGTTTGGTATATTCCAATTCTTTTATTATTATTATTATTATTGTAATTTCTTCTTATTATTGTAATGTTTTATTATTATTGTCTTTTTTAATTATTCCTCATTATTATTATTTTCTTCCTTTCTGTCCCATTAAACTATCTTTATCTTAGCCCAAGAGTTTTACTTTTTCCTGATTCTCTCCTCCACCCCACTGGGTAGGGAGGGGGGAGCGAGCGAGCGGCTGCATGGTGCTTAGTTGCCAGCTGGAGTTAAACCACAACAAATGGTTTCAGTTTCAAGTATCCAGCTGTCTGTCACCTACTGTGGTAAGCAAAAGGATTTTTGTCCAAGCAAAGCTGCAACTCTAAAGTTTTGTAATTAGAGATCGTAAGAGGGTTTTGGGAAACTTTTTTTCTTTTTTTTTTTTTTTAAATATCACAGCAGCAAACAGGAGCCAGATGGGACCATAATACTTTACATAGCTCCAAACCTGTCTGCTAGTTAAGTCAAAGTTTAAGTTATTTATTTTTGCCTATACTGAGGGTGGCAGACATGGGGAATGGGGAAAAGTAAATAAATGATACTCACTACTCCATGAAGACAAGTCTCTCAGGAGCATCACAAACAAAAATCCCTTCCAATTTCTTCCGAGATAACTAACTGTGCACTTTCACTTCAGAATAGGTACCTGAACTATATCAGTCCTGGATGTGGAGAGGGAATAGCTGCCCAATTTAAAGGATCTCTAAAGGAAATGACTATTTGTTTAATAATCTCTACTAAGAGTATTTATTTAAAAACTGTTTTCCTACAGAATGTAGATAACTCAAACTATGTAAGTTTTCTTTCCTAAACTATGCTACTGCATGTGATAGTTTACAGTATTTTGAAATACATACATTACTGATAGAACTTTAACTGACATGTTCAGAAATATGACACTAGCTATTTGCTTTTGTTATAAATAAAAGAAAACAAAACAAGAACACACCAACCTCTTGTTCTTGAAACACTTACGGAAAAGTGAATTGCTATTTAAATTGCCTTTAGAACTGTAATTTATACAGGAATCTTAAGACCAGCATCTGAGATGCATCTCAACACTAAGAGAGAAATTCCATGACAGTGTAAGTTTTTAATGGTTTTATGAAACCTTTAATCCTGCACTCCAAGCTTTTCCCCTTACTTACTTGCATTAGCTTTTTCCTGAGTGGTATCTGCATCAGTGTTAGAGCTGACGGACTGGCTGTCTGAATTTTTGCTGCTGTCACCCAACTTTTTAAGTCTGTTCAATCGTTTATCTGTTTCTCTCAGTCCATATTTACTATTAATCACAGGAGTAGGTGCTGGCAATCCCACTCTTGACTTAAAAGCACCAGTTCCACGTCTACAAAGAAAAAGAGGACACAATGTATTAAATAACTCTTAATATAAACTTAGAACTGTGTTTCATATACAATAGTTTGAATCCCAGGTATATTTGGATAAACAATACCAATAACCACTGAATTTATTAGCATTTTGTGGGCTGCTTTAATAGGATATCCATATAGTCATTTTAGTAAGATGTGCAGAAAAAACCTTCATTTATTTCTTGCAAGAAGAAAAGTTGCAAAAGTAGGTTTCCCTTGCTTTACTTCTATTTCAGTATCATTTCACAGTCAAATTATACAGGTGAAAATGAAATATGCTCATTCAAAATACTACTTAGCTCAGATAACAACTTCAATTTTTTCCTAATCACAGCAGGCTAGTACAAATATGTCAGCTTCAGTTACAATGCTTCTTAACTGCATCAGCAAGAGTTGAAAAGTACAGAAAATGGAATAAAATTATCACATACTTCTGTGTTCCTTTGCAACTGAAAGACTCCAGTATGTATGTATTTACCATGAAAATGAAATGGCTGAGCAAACCTAGAACTTTTTTTTTTCCTAAGTAATCACAGAAAAGGATGAAGATTAATAATTCCTGTACTTGCACTTCAATCACTACTATTAGGATTCCTTTGATACTCTTTAATAATCCAGTATGCTTGCAATCTGCAGAATTACTAAAGACAACTTCGGTGTGGATTCCAGTGTGTTGTACTGGAAGAAAATCTACAGAACTTAACCAAAAGTGCACCAAAAAGATTAGACAGGCTCTCAAGCTCCTCAAGGTTAATTATTATGCAGACACAATACTTGTTCTCAAATTAACTGGTATTTGTTTGATATGAAATGTTCTTTCCGTATTATTTTGTATTCTGCAAATTACAGGCAGCTTAAGATACTAGATTGAACCTAGCACAAGCAACAGCCACTTTAGATCAGAAAGTAATAGTGCTACGAAAAACCACAACTGTCTTCTGATATGTCATCTTTGGTGCTCAGTTGTCTCAGTCAGCCAGCATGAACAGCAGGCTCACCTAAAAACAGTACATGCACATATGTAAAGATATGTAATTTTCTTGGTGATGACTTTCAGAGGCTTGGAAAAAAAAATTGGACAGAGCCAACACTCCCAAACGTACTCCACAGATCCTTAGAAGTTTAGCAGTTTAACATTACAAATTAACACCCTTTACAGCATAGTCAAAAATCGGGTCACTTAAAGATGATTTTTTTTGTGGTGTACAAAGCGACAGTTGCCTCATCAGTGTTGGTAAGGACTAATTTTTCCTTGCTCAACTCTGCTAAATTAAAATCTCTCATATTTGATTGCTGTAACACAGCCTTGTGACCGAAAAACAGATTCCTAAAGTTAGAATTACCCAAACGTTAGCTTTAAAATATAACACTTTCCTGTACTTAAAATACAAAGACGACAAGTTAGTGAAAGTGTTCAGACACATAAAATTGGTTTGTCCTGAAAGTATGTCCGTATTACATTAAAATCAACAATCAAAGGAACTTGAGCAAAAAGAAACATTATCACTCCAAGTAACAAGGAAAGAACAATCATGGTGCCCATTTATTCAATACTAAACACCTCCCAGGACTGAAGTACATTTTTACTAGCAGCTCTCTAGATAGACTGAGACTGTACCCTTCACTTGGAATGATCTACCAACAGCATATGAGCTTGAAAGTCCACACCAGAAGGTTTTCCCTTGAATTGCAAGAATTGTTAGTGACCAAACTAGCTAGTAAAAAATGAAGGTAGGGTTCTTAAACTATTTATATGTAGGTGCACAAAGCTATTTTTCAATATGGTTAATATTTTGTCCTTTGTAGGTCTTCTCTCTCCACACTTAGGTGAAACAGTAAGAGAACTGTCATAGGTTCTGTGTAGTTCCTCTTGGACCTAGGTGAAGCTCTCACATATGATGTTGAGCCTCCATGCTCACAGTAAGCAGAAGTTTCAACATGGCAAAAACCAACTATGAAATTCTTTCAACTGATTTTGTGAAGAAACTAGGTTGGGGCAGCACAGGTGAAAAACAAGTATAACAACAACTTTGCTATTGTGCGATGGACAGATATAGGCAAGTACTGTCCAAACCAGCAGATCTTTATGAGTACACAAACCCCCAAGTTCTAGTACCATAGGGTGAAAACTACTTTGCCCATTCCCAGCAGAAAAGAATTTCAGGTCAACATAGAAAACATTAATAAAATTTACTTTTTCTAGTGCAAAAGAGAGCAAAAGTTGGGGGTCAGTTGCTAAAGGCTTCGTAGAAGCTACAACTGCTCTTCCTTCCAATTCTACCTTATTCTGTATAAATATTTTTAAGAATCTACACTTCTTTTTTATTATTCTCATTTTGGGCTATGTCCAGAACAGAGAATTAAAAGAAAAACAGCATGCAGGAGTTCTCAGGAAACATGACCGTTCAGTAAAAACATAAAAAAAAAATCATTATAACAAATAGTTAGGAAGCAATTGTAATGTGTCCAAAAATCTGAGTACTCATAATAAAGGACTTCCAAGTTTCACAGAATATATTATGACTATGCCCAATTCCATTTGAAACTTATTTACATCAATGCATACCTTTCACAGGTGTAACATTCGCAGTATTCATTATTTTCTCCAAAAAACCCATCTCCATAGTAACAAGAGATTTCTTCTCCAGGTTCAATATCTCTTAGAGCTTTCACACATGCTGTATCTCTGCCCGTTGATACAAACTGGGGAAGGAGACAACAGAAAGGGGAGGGGGGAAGAAAAAAAAAAGTTAATCATTAAGGTTGAACAGTACCTGAATAAGAAAAAAAAAAAAAAAAAAAAACAACTGTTGGGGAAGAAAAGGGGCAGGGAAAAAAGGGGAGGAAAAAAAAAGTGGGGTGCTTTATTTATTTACTTTTAATTTCTTGCTTACCTTACAGTTAGGTCTGCAATCTGAAAAAGGTCCAAAAGATAAAGTCAATTAACTGTTGATAAGACCTGAAACATGAATAGTTGTAGATATCTAAAGTAAGGATTCACTCTGACTTCAATAACTGTAGAATCTCAACTAAATACTGGGAGTTATGTTAGTATTGCACAAAGCTATACATCAAAAGATATCTATTTTCATATAGTTTGGCTTCTGAGCTCTTCCCTATGCTACCACAAGTGTTCAGTTTCTCTCCTCTGTAAGGTAACAGGATTTATCTTAAACCCTACCTGCTTTTCCTTCAGCATACAAATGCAACAGAATCAGTTAAGCTTCTGTGCAAAAGGTTAAAGAAGGCATAAGAAGTTCACCTAAGAAATATGTTATTGTTGACTAAGTTCACAAAGAATTCAAGGTAACCCACAATATGCTCCACTAACTTAGCTGCCAGTTCCAAAGTCTCTGTGAAGGAAGAAGGCATCACTTTCCTAAAGCCTTCTGTGAGTTTCCCAGTCCACAGCCCATCAAGTCTGGTCTAGGAAAATCCCAACAGGATTTTGTCCTACAGTAATCCAGTATGCCAGATTCAGACATTTTCTCTAAGGTCCTGCATTGTTCAGCTCACATAAAACAACACTTCTGAGTAGAATTCCTTATGTCCTTTAACATGCTTCCTATACTTACTACTCACCATGATTGATAAATGCAGCAGGACCAAGCCACAGCTGTGCACAGTTTTTCCGTGTGGAATACATGACGCTGAAGTCATTTTCCCCATGTCTCAGCAGCATGTTTTCTTCCATTTCTGATAGTTCAGCAATACAGCCCACAAGTAATTCTATTTTATCATTTCGTTTCCTTTAGTGTAAAAAGAGTAGCAGAAGTAAGAATACATATGCCAAAATTGCAAAGTAATTTCACAAGAAGAAAAGCTGTCAATAACAGGAAGTGTTTTGTAAACCATATCTCAACCCCTATAAACCTCATGTTTTAATTCAGTTAGAGACAGGATATTAGGCTAAATAGACTTTTTATCAGACATGAAAGAAATGGTTTTATGCTACTATATAGAATCAATTACATCAATTCTGACAGACATTACCACCATTGTTTCTACCATGTCCTGACACTGCAAGCAAGAAATTGCAAGAGTTGATTACTTCAGCTTCTACAGTTGTTAAAACTAAAAGCAAGATTTTTTCATTTGTGCACACTCCCTCCCCATCAGCACATAAGACATTTTGACTTCCTCCAGCTGCTCTTGTTTGCATTTCCTATACTTCTTCCTTTGGCCAGGAAAACACAGCATAATGAAGACACTCAGAACTCAGTGGCTTCTTAAAAAAAGGGCCAGTATTGACTCAAAACAAGGCCAGAATACACACAAGATGTTTTCCTCTCTCACAAGCAGTTCTTCAGCATCAAGCTAGTCCTTGAAATAGACCATTGGCAGGGGGCTGGGACACACACACACAGACGGACGACCAACAAAACCATGATGCTTTCATGTGCAGACAGCCAAACTGCCATCATAAATATAGCAGATCAGAGACACTGAATACTCAGCCTAAGAAGCAGCACACAATTTCCATTATCTTGCAAGGGCATTGTTTCTACTGCTTTTTAGAGTGGCCATTCCAAATTTTGGCCAGATTACTTTGACACAGATGAATATGAAGATACTAAATATACACAAAGGACACAAACCTTCCAAGGTTTGTGAAGACAAGCCTTTTAAGTCCAAAATTCTCCTTTTATAGAGAGTGCTGAGAACTCTATCAGTTCTGAGTCTCAGTAGTTTTCCAGATATTGGCAGGGTTAAGAAGCAGCTCTCCTGTCTTGCTCTCTCTCAGGTCACTCAAGATTTTGAGCATGAAAAGTTAGTTCATTTTCAACACACCTAAATACAAAGCTTCCACCCCAAAGAATCAGTTAGGGGGAGAATTCAAACAAACAAACAAAAAACCCAAACCAACTCATGATTATATCATAATTGTGGAACTTCCAGCTACAGTCATGAAGAGCTAGAAACTGGCCTCAACCTTCTTAAAGCTTACCCTCCCACATGTTGAGGCCATAGCCCCACAGTAATGGCATGCTTACTTGGTACGCTGCCTGTATAATATCTAGCTACTCAATCCTAGCCTGCACATAATAGCATTATCATCATCTCAGATGTGATTTTATGAGTATGTACTGCCACAAAGCAAAACAAATATAAAGTACAGGGGGGACGGGACACGGGACGGACAGGACGGGACACGGGGACGACAGGGAATGAAGGGGAAAATTTATTTTAAAATCTGAATTAACCCAGGGATCTGCTGTTGCTGCCACCGACATGCTTATAATGAAACTCAGATGTGCAAAAATGAGATGGGGTAATACACTGCAGTTCCAACTTTGTGTTTCCAGGAGAGTTTTATCTTGCACAATCAAAATATGCAAATAACACCCCTCAGTTTCACAAAGGTGAAAAACTCATTTCCTCACAATTATTTGTTGTATAACAATCCAGCATAATGCCAGTCTCGACATGGCTGTGTTTCTCACAAGAGGCCAACAACTCACGATTAGAGGAAAATAATTATCTGACTGAAAACAAGATAAAAAAAAACTTGTATACTGAAAACTGTATGGCTACATCCAAATATACAAAGGCACGTCTTACAGATGCATGTATTATGTGTTAAGTACTTAGCAAAAACAGACACCAAATTTAATTTGTAAGTAAAAATACAAAACTTTCTATTTCGCTGGTTGCAGTTTTAATTCTAAATCATGCTTCTTCAATATCATTTTTTAGAACCTTTCAAACTAAATGACAGAAATGGAATGCAACAGTAAACTATATTTCTTACCATTCTTTTGTTGCAACAATTTTGGCTCCATTTTGTTCAGAAGAATACCGATTACAAGGCAGTATCTCAAACCCACTGTCAGTTGCAAACATTCGTAAATAAATAAATACCTGCAATGAAAGAAAACAGTATTTTTCTGTTACAAGCAAAACAAAAGCAGTGGGGAACTTCATATAAAAATAATGAAAGTCAGTGAACTGCACAAATAAATACACAAAAAATGGATATTGCAATGGGATGCTGTTTGCTGAAATGCATTTCTGATTATAAATTTTAACTATACACATTACACTAATCTTATTTCTCCAGACTGACTTGCAGGGATCCTCACATGGCTAACAAAAGAGTTTAAAAAAATTAAAGATGCCTTGAATGGTACAAAATTGGTCCAACCAATGAAAAGCAATTATTTCTTCTTAAAGTCACTGAGTAGTTGCATTCAAGAACTCTTCTCTGATCTTTAAAAACCATCGAGACCTAACAATCTACAGGATCCGATTTTATTCCTTCCAGTTCTGAGAAAGATACTACTTCCCTGACAAATCTAGATACTGAATTCAGGGATTGCTCGATCAATTCTTTTTAAAGTACAGTAGTATTACTCAAAAAACACTATGGGAAAGCAGAATTTGCTGCCTCCTTTTTTGTATACTACTAGATTTGATGCACTTTAAAGTAGGCCAAATTCCTTTTGGTTATATCTGAAAACAACGCACTCATTCCTGAAGGAGTTGGTTTTTGTTTTGGGTTTTTTGGGGGTTTTTTTTGTTTGTTTGGTTGGTTTTTTTAAGTTAAAAAATACTATGATTTCCTTGCAACTTTGAGAACCAACAACCTTTATGCTATACACAAAATGGATTTGGGGTGTGGGAAGTAGAGGAAGAGGAGTAACACTCCGACATAAAGCCCCTATACCCAAACAACTGAGGTAATTTGAGGTAGCAAGGCTTCTCCTTTTTCCTTCACCTTTCTTTGTCACACAATTTGATTTAAAATAGCTGCAAGTTAAAAAACCAAAACAAAAACACAAAAACAAAAACCCAACACAGAACAAACAAAAAAAGGAGTCGGGGGGGAGAAACCCCTTCCAAAGAATGAAAGAAGTCCTTGAAACTCTTCATCTCCTGGAAGCAGGTCTTCTCTCTTCTGCTTATGACTTAAGCCAACAGCAGAAGAGGCAAATGTGTCTTCCCTTCTACATGTCTATTAAATAAAAGGCAGTGGTAAGTTAACTCAAAAAAAAAAAAAAAAAAAAGCAGGGACAAGGGGGGGGGGGGAGAAGCTAGGTGGCTTTTAAAAAACAAAGGAAGTTTCTGTTGAAAAGCAATGAAAGAAATAACATGACAGCACAGTGGATTATTTTACTACCGGCTACATTCCTAAGAAATTTTTACATTTTCTTAGCCTTTCAACCATCTGAAAAAACACATTAATTACAAATACACCTACATGTTCCTTGAACAACCTTTCCTGCATTTTGTTCTTGTTAAGAAAATAGTGCCGGGCCCAGTCACCTGACGTCAAGGACTTGAAGGCTTTTTCTAAGTGCTCATCTTTCTTAAAACGTTCAATCACCTCTTTTAGTTCTTCTTGCCTTCCTTTAATAGGTCGAAATCTGAAATAAAAAATAAAGCTATTCCAGTCCACTGTTATTAATTTTCAATTCTTCCTCACAGTTACTCGCAGCACAGAGTTCTTTTGCTAGCCATATAAATATTTAACTTTTAGCATAAAGAAACTGACCACTGTGTACTCAAATCACAGGCCCTCATTTCCTGAGATAATGGTAGAGGCAAGGTAAAGCCGAGCATACTACTTGGAACGTTAAAACCCTCCATTCTGCCAAGAAGCACAATCTATTTCTGAAACAAATCTCCGATAAGATGAACCAACACAGAATAATATTTCACTTTTTTCAGTACCTATCATGTGGAACAAAGAAGCTAAAGAACTAGTATAATAAAAGTGTCACTCCCCTTACTTTCCTAATAAATTTACTATCATTAAAAGTGCTTGTGCAAAAAAGTCCAGCAAATAAACTAGATGCTGTAAAGCTTCCTAGTTAACACTATTATCAGGGGATCTATGCACAGTTCTGGCTTTTGTAGCTGGGTTGGGGGGTGCATGATTTTAAATTTAAGCCCTCTAAAACCTCACATATTACACTAAATTTTTTTAATAGGGAACAAACAATTAAGACAGCGCAACTGACAAGACTGAGTAATAAATCTCAAAACAGAAAAAATGTGTAACTATCTTGAAGAGTGATTTCAAATCAACTTTTGCCCAATGCAAAGCCTTATTATATTGACAAATCCACTATATGGGTTTATGTAGATTGCAAACTCAACATTTGCATTAACGTAAAACACACCTTTTAATGACTACACAAAAGTATCTATAAATAGTAACATACAGCATAGATACTACATCTGCGGAAGACTGAATTTCCACAGGTTAGTGCGATTGTAAGATTTCTTCCCCAGAATACTGGCTACAGGAAACAGGTATCTGAAAATCATGGATAGATAAAAATATGAAAATAAACCCCTGTACATTAGCAGAGAATTCTGCCTTCTTCCCAAAGCTTGAGATTTAAGAAAAACTATCCTTCATATCATCAACAGGAAAAAACTGGCTACAGAAAAAAACTATATGACTGCAAGAAGCAGGAGCTCCACTTCTGAGCTGCAAAACCATCAAGAGAAAGAAGAACTTAGAGATTATGTCAAATCTCTATAAACTGCCTTAGACTGAGCACATACCTGTATATGCTCTGCTTTGGGGCGGAGGTGGGATGTGTGTACTTTTAAGTGTATGACACACCCCAGGGGACTCTTCGCAAAGGTAAAAACTTTCTAGGGTCATGAAAAGCTGTTTTCTGCAGCTCCTTTTACAACTCACACCTTTTGCTTACACAGCATATAATGAAAGTGTTGAACAGGCTAACAGCTTTTGATTAAATCCATAACACTAAGTCCCATTACTTGTTGCTTGAAGTGTGTTACCATGCTGATTTTATTTCCTCCTACTTACCAAATGAAGTCTGTATTTGATGACAAAAGTAAACAAGGGGAAATAAATTCTTGAAGCTGGTGAAAGGAAACCTCATCAACTCCTTCACTGATACCCTGTTTTTTAAATTACCATATCACCTGGCCTATTCTCATCTTAGAACGCTGAATGTTGTAAGTAACTTCTTTTCAGATGACTGAATAAGATTTGCTTCTTCTATGCAACTTGTATGAAGGAAACAAAACACCTTAAGTGTTGGACATCCCAATTTTATTGCACCTTGTAAAATAGCAAGAGTTTAAATCATAAATAACTAGTAGTGATGAGGATTCAAGCTCCTTCATTAGAAATGAAATGCTCTATTTATGCTCCTGATACAATAAACACCTCCTAACAGCAGTATCCCTTCCAGCAGCAGTGCGGGTTATCAGCGTTTCATGCATCTTCTCTGCATTTCTCCATCTGAAAAACTTCCTTGTAATATAACGACTAAGCAATCTTTTAGATCTTTTTGAATATGGCAAAAGTTATCAGCATAAACCTGTGAGCTTTCAGATATGATATAGTAGTAGTTCCAAGACATTACATAAGTTTTCTTCTGGCTGGGATAACATCTAACAAGATAGAAAGAGTCAGTCAAGAAATAGATGCCCACTTAGAATTGTAGTATGTACCCTGCCAAGAAGTTTCAAATCAAGTCCTTTAATAAAGAATATACTTATCCCATCTCCCCCAAAAGCTAACTGCTTAACAAGCTGCTGAAACCTCATCATGGAGGAAAACTCCCTTCAGACTACAGATGATATGATCATTATTATTTTTGTTCTGTAGCACAGCAAAGTCTCCCTCAACTTGCCAGATACAAGAAGAATATCTCCCAGTTCTCCCAAAACCAGAAAGACTTCTCCCAGATTTGACAGTCATAACTCAGAGAGCTTCCTCAGACATTAAGGGAATTTAGAATGATATAGCCTGAGCTGAACCTGACTAGTTTCAGAATAAGACTTGCTCTCATTTTCAGAAACAGTTTTCCCAACAAGGATCCAACTGTATTTATATCATGAGAAGTACAAAGCACACCAATATGCACAAACATGACAGGTCAACATTTGGTTTACATCTTTATCTGCAAACATTATAGGAGGAAAAGCCACAGGATTTACAGCTAAAACTGGTCTTCAGCTACATCTATTCTTGCTGGGCTAAATGAATGATTGCCCTCTCCCTTACATTTTATATGTTAAAATGCCCCTTTTTTTTTTTTTTAGCTAAGTGACCTGCAGGAGCAAAGACAGGTGGAAAAACCATCACATTCAAAATTGTATTAGCACCTGAGGCAGGCAATGTGTATGTGCTGATAGACATAATCATACTTGTTTATCACCAAGAAGCAGTTTAGTCTAGGCTAGGTAAGGAAAGCAGTATCCCAACTGAACCACCAGCCGGGAGGGGGGGAGAGAAAAAAAAAAAGCGCAGGTGTTTCTACAGGTTCTTGTCTCAGGCATTCCACACTGCTGGCAGAATTCCTTTAAATGTCTAGCAGAAACTCATGTAACATCATTCCTGAAAAGTAGAATAGTTACTGTATGCCCAAGCCTTGAAAAGGCCAAAAAGAAGGGTGGAAACAGGAAGGGGGTGAAGAGATTTTAAAAACCCCAAAACATTAAAAGGTCAGATGAATGTTACAGTGTATGCCAAGCATTTGAAACTTGAAACAGGAACTGGGTTTTTCAAAGAACACGACTCTCAGCACCCAAGGGCTCAAAAATTAATACCAAGGCCCCCCTGCAGAACAACTATCAAAATGTTGTACTGATATTTTTTTACATGGTCACAAGACAGAGATAACTAGAAAAGATAAACAGGAATCCAAACAAGCAAGAACTGTCCACAAGTACATGGGAAGATGCTGAAAACCAACATCATGATGTACAGCGTTTCACTTCAAGGGTTCCCAGATCAATGAAGCAGAATGATACTTTGCACCCCGCGCCCAACTTAGTGAGTTGTTCACAGCTCAACAGCATGTGTAAACTGCACTGAGAGCATATAAGGTTTGAGCTAATCCAGAACACTACAACCCAGACTCCTCATGAAAGCTTCAGTGCTTTCACAGGTGTATCTCCATACTTTAAAAGGCACCTTCCGATTTGAGACACTGAAGAAGCCAATATGCCAAGAAAGCCTAGAAGTCAAGCGTTCCTTAAGAATTTGAGGGTCTGCTGATAAGACACTTCACTTCTCCCAGGAATATAATGAAATAGCAGTTCATTCATTAGTCTTTCCCAGCACTACCTACCAAAAAGCCAATCGGTTTTGAGATGCAACCTTAAACGCTATCATTTTGGTGTTACAGTGCTTCCTCATTTACACGTCATTTAAAAAAAAAAAAATCTATGCATCTGCTGAAAAAGTCTACATGACTGTTTTTGAGCACCACCATGAAGAGAGCCTGAAAAGACCCCACAGCTAAATGTATATATATAAACCGAGCCAAAGAAACTGGCTTTTAAGTGTCAGTAAAATAGGAGACTAGTTCAAAGAAGAGAACTAGAGAGACAGAAAGAGCACAAGAAAACCAACAGAACAAACCAGCCAACCCAGTCTCTAAACAGAGTCAATTAACATCAGAATTGTTTATCCAGACTTCTGGTTTGCTCCTATGAGCAGCACCTTTAATAGATTCCATCATGCAAACTGAACAACACACTCTGTTGTTTCAATCTGCTCACAGGCACAGACCCATTGAGCCACCCTACAAACAGCTTCAGGGGTCAGGTCTCACAGAACATGGAGTCTGCCACAAAACAGTCTGTTATTAAAAGTACGCTAAGAATGAAAACTCAGCTATCACAGTATCTTTAAAGAAATAATAATAATAGCCCTTCTTCCTGCAGAATAGAAACTTTTCACACTTCCCTAGGAAACACTCATTTTTCCCTAGTCAACAAGATCCAAAAAAGCTATGGGTATTGCAATTTCAAAATTAGCTAGAAGATGATCTTATCCCAGTTAAGGGCAAACTGAAGCGGTCTCAATAAGGAAGACGTAGGAAAATGGCTTGGGGAAGCAAAGCTCTTTCTCTCTCTCAAGTTTCTCTTACCTCGGGAATACTTAAAGAATCTTGAAACTCCAAGGTATAAAGCCAAAGGTCAGTGAGATGCTTGCCTATAAAGGAAGTTAAAGGAGAGTTTCTGGTAAGTTCAGAAGCACAGTACCTTGCTCAGTCTCAAGTCACTGAGAGCAGTGAGTTTGAACAAAAAGGATAAATTGATCCTGCAAGAGATCCAGTATGGAACTCCACATAGCATACCAGTGCATGATAAAGGGTTATACTTCTAAACCTGTTTCTTAACTTCTGTCTACAGAACATCAAGAAGAGTGAATTTATCAAAACATAGCACCCCATTAGCCTCTTAACAACAGGCACTTTGTATGGATGATCATTTTTATTTAAGTGGCTATGGAAAGACAGCAAGTTACTGTTCATCTAATACCAGAGATTTAGCACAGAAGCTAAAACTGCAAGGCTGTTAAGCATTCAAGACAGCACAACAAGAGTTGAAAATCATCTGCTTATAATAAGTGGAAACAATTGATTTAGTTAACATACATTTTGGCTTCCCCCTGCCCAACCCTGTAGTGTGAGTATCTTAATTAAAAGCTAGTTACATAAAAATCAACTTGTTCTGTGTTTAATCTCCAGTGTTGTTATCTGGAAAAAAACCCACACTCTTTAAAGGCCAAAGTTCAAAACAGAATTTTTAATTAAGAAAGTATTCCATATTACTTAAATTTCTTGAACTGAAACTATACACGCACCAGTGTGGTCAAAACTCTAATACAGCCTAGAATAGAAGTAAAGAAAGTTCTAACAGCCACATGATTTCATTCTCCTTAATATGGTTATTAAATAAATGCTTTTTTAAAATAAATATGGGCAACAAAAAAAAAACCCCAACACTTTTCTTCAGTCCTATTCTGACACTCCACATAGTAAATTTGATTTAGCAGTTACCATGACTACTGGATGCAAGCCACTCCAGCTTTTAGAGATATAACACTTTTTATTGAAGTTAAAGGTGCAACTAGAAAAACTGTGTAAGAGTAAGGTGAGTGTTGGTTTGGAGGGGTGGGGGGTGGTTTGGTTGTTTGGGCGGGGTTTTGGTTGCAATTCTTTTTTTAAAATCCAAAACATTCAGCAGCAGCAAAACAGTTAGTTCCAATGTAATCACTGTGTGTGACCACATACAGTGAAGGAAGACAACCAGGAGCAAGTTAAAGGACTTTACTGAATTAAGTTATCAGCAAAAATTAAAAGCAGACAGCAGACTTTACACAAGTCAAACAAGATCATTTTGGAAAGTACACAGACACTGAGGTCTGAAGAATGTAAAAGCTTCACTTTGAAACATGGTGTCACTACATAAGAGCTGTGTACCTCTAATCCATTATCTCCACAGGGAGAAGAGGAACTATACAGCCTTGTAACCTTATTTAGCAGAAGCCACATAACTTGTTCTACCTCCAAACCCTATTCAAGATGAATAAGGAGCCCTTTAATTATTATATCAAAATGAGCTAAGGAGCACAGCAGAGATTCAGCACAGACCCATGAACACAAGTGATATGGAACTGCTTTGCCTTCTTTGTCTTTATTGCTCAACAGTGACTTACGGGACAAAGAGTGACGTACCCTGTCAAGTAAGTACCTGATGGTTTACACCAAGACCAGCAATTGCTCTTAGTGTAGCGTTGACAGAAAGCAGCTTCCCGCACATCATCCCCAACACACTTCATGTTTGCTATGGAAAACACAGAAATTCTTAAAGCTTGGTCCTTTAGTCTCACATTATCAGACAAAACTACCCGCACCACACACCAGTTTGTAACTTCACTGAAAGCAGCAATATGGAGTTAGGAAACACCCCTAGATTCTCCTAAAAGAGACTACAATACGTTTGACCTCCTAAGTCACTTGCAAACTTAGAAAGACATTGGAACTGCTCTCAGTATTCCCTAGCCTGATGCTGGTGCTTTAGGGAACCAGGAAACCAGAGTGACTGGTAACAGAAGCAGTATTATCAGAAGTCTGCCTTAAGATTTAAATACTAACACATTTGTATGCAAGACAGTGAAGAGTGGATTAGCCATTAAGGCATGCAAACTTCAAGATTCAGCACTCAGCCTAGGGAAAAGCATCTGAAAATAAGAGATGGTAAGATAAACGTGAACTCACTTTGCTTTTTACAAGCATCAGTTTTAATCTCTAGTGTTAGACAACCTTCAACCCAGGAAGTAATAGCTTGCAAAATCAGTTTTGTTTTTACATAAAAGACAGGCATGCAAGACTAAGTAAATCTTACAGCCAGGATAGCCTTTGTCACACACACAAAAAAAAGAAAAAAGGTCTGATATAACAGGATTTGTACAAGAAGCAACAAAACCTCTTAGAACGGCTATACTTGACAAGATTATACTTCCTAAAACATGGATTATTTTTTTTATTAACTGCTAACCTCCTATTTTGTCAAGATAAGATCTACCAATTTGATGAAAGAATGACCACATGGCCTGTAAAGAGGGCCAGAAGCTCTGAAAACAACCTGCTTTCTCCTGGAAATCCAAGAGGATGAAAAAAGAAGTTACTTTTGGGTAAAGCCACTGAAGACATTTCCAGAGCTACATTTTATGCTGTCCATCAAATCACTGGTGACAAGAAGGTATTTCAGAGGAACACTGGACAAACTCATTGGGTGATCCAATTGTAATCTTTTGAGAACTAGTCTTCAGCTCTTTCAGACATTACTGACTTGACTGACAGCTTACAGAGCTAATAGCTCAATTCCCAAGATGGAGGGCATTCAGGAATTGCAGGACTTTATTTTTATGGCCCCCGGAAAAAAACAAAGAAAAAATAACAATCACATTCTTGTCACTACTCTACCATAAGATGACTAATTCAGTATAAAGAAGATGGAAAACAAAGACATTCCAACAATAATATAGATATTTTACTAGAACGTTATGAGGTTTTTTTTCCTCTAATCAATATACTCTGGGCAAAACAAGGTCTTTACAAACTCTTCAACTACAGGAATGAACGAAGAACAGAAAATGCTTATATAGAAGACACTTATACATACAAAAATACAGACCTGGCTTCCAGAGGTAAGGTAAGGTACAACTTCAGTAAGTGGTCATCAACTTACACTGGGCTGCTAGTTGCAAAAATACAAACCTCTTATGAGTTTCCAACAGCAAAGCAGAATGCTGGCAGAGTCACTTCCACAGTATGTCTTCAAACAAATCACAGCAAGGGAACAGGAAATACTTGCTTGCCATCATAAATGGCCATTTTATTTTAAGCACACCTCAATACAAAAACTATGTAACTAATATGACTTCATCACACTGAAGCAGAAGATGTCCAAATGTAAGCTGCAAATCTTAATTTCTACTACAATCATTTACTTGGGTACTGGCATGTGGTATTTTGAAAATGGTCTAGTCTTTTTGTATTTGTTTTCCCCCCTGCCTTCCCTCAAAGCCATACAACAATACATCTCAGGAGCTCTAGAAAGACTACAGCTTACTAGATGGAAAGAAGATGATCTAAGCATCAGAGCTACAGTAACAAGCAGATGTCATCACTGTACCAAAAAGAAACAAAAACTATGCTGATGCCTTCATTTTAATTCATTGCAACAATAGAAACTCTCTCAATAGGACATTATGAAAGAGGCAAGAAGATGTGTTTCTGGGTTTCTGGTAGAAGTTGTAAGCCTCACCTAAGTATTTCCCATAGTGCTCCGAGATTATTAACTACTGTCCTTGAAGACTGCCTGTAACTGTTTTCCAAGTCTGAGAAAGGAAGAAATACATGATGATAGCCTTTGTGTAGTCTTTTGATTCAAATTAGTAATCAAAAAAGTATTTTAGGTGTTGAAAACATATCAGCATAAAACAACATTTATGAATATAGCTTCTCCAACTATTAAACAATGAATACATCATTTCCTTAGCGAAAAGCATAAGAATTAACTACCTGTGCATAAGCTGTAGACTACCATTCATGCAACAAAACAAGTAAGTCTTTTGAGCATATATATTTAGCTCGATTAACTGCTGGAAATACAAAGACACTCCGAACTGAACTGTAAGAGTATCTACCTAGACGCTGTTTTGGGCACAATGTGCTATTGTAACCAACAGCATGGAGGGAACAGGAAGAACTCAAGCATTCCTCTTAAAGATGGATGTTGCACTCTCCAGCAAAAAAGAAAAATCTCTTTGGAGTCTTTACAGTTATTAGGACCACATTGCTGCAATTTCCTGTGCAACTAATGCTGTCAGGTTACACCAGCAACCATTCATGTTACGTGACAACACCAATTAATCTAGCAGTCATTTTTGAAGCTATCAGCTTGTTACATACATACAAAAATCTACTTAACTGATACTCTGGTTATGCCACCATGCTGCACAGGTAAACTGTTCTTCTTTAAAAATAGCCACAGCAACAGTTTGAAGGGTTGAGCAGCTTGTTTCCCATGATGTGCTGCCTGGAAACCCCAGCTCTTATTATTGTACAATAATAAGCACATGATTCCTGTCCTTAGAAACTTATCATTTATATATAGCTTCTCCATTACGCTAGCAATGCAGACCTTGTATACAAACAAAAGCTTAACAGAGATCTATAGAATATACTTATAATCAGTGGTACATCTGTAAAACAGGAAGAAGCATGCAACAACTAAACCCTAAGACCACACTGAATTTAGAACAGAAGTATTCAGACAGGTCCATAACAGTGCAAAAGTATGTGCAATTCTGGTAAGCAAGTTCCCAGTGTGCACATTAATTTATCTTATACATACAGACATGTTTGAGTAGCATTCCTTCAGCATGGGTCTGCAGGAACTTAAGATCAAGTGGCACCAACATTGAAGTGCTCAGGAACTATATCTTTCTTGTGATGTTATAAGAGTAAGGAGGGGGGGGGTGAGGGGGTGACAAAACCAAAAAAGCACCCAGGCACATGAAATAAACAGAGAAGTCCCCAAACACTAGCTTCTGTATTTGAAATATTTCAAATTAGTAATGCTTTAAAACTTATGATTAATTAACTGTTTAAGCTAAGAAATGGTGTTTATTAACAACCTGTTCTACAGCATAAACATACATGAGCGCTAGTAGACCTATAATAGCATTACAAATGCACGCTGTCTCAGAGCTCTGAGGTCCAGTCTTACATGCAATACCATTTTAAAGGCAGAAGCTACTCACAAATTGCCATTTTTTCAGACTTTTGTAAACATGCAAGAAATTCCACAGTTTTGCCCTGATTACATCATCAACTAAGATCAATTCTTTTCTAGAAAAATAAAGACAAGTTACCTAGTATTCATTTTGTGTGTCTGAAAACCTAAATAGGGATCAAGAACCAAACTAGTTGCTAGGTCATCGTTTTCACACAGTTCCTTGGCAGACATTCCAGAGGAAGGCACATAACGACTTTGACCCTCAAATCCTGAAGCACCGCTACCTGCGAATAAGAAAGCATAAATTAGACATCATTTAAGGAATGTTATAAAGCCTAGCTACACTCAGGGACAGACAGCCACAGGTCAGAGACAAAAAATATAGAACAAATAAGGAAGATGATAAAATATCTGAAGAAGCAGGAGCACAGTTAATTTTTCACTCTTGCTTTTGTTCATTTATGTAGCAGCCAATGGAGAAAGTATTTTAGAACACATTTTACGGGTGTCTCCAATGAATTTTGGTTTCCTTCTCTCTTCCCCTTCCCCAACTACAAGCATCTTTCCAGACTACACCGGTCAGTCACACCTGTCTCTAAAATTTCTGACCTATGAACGTGATGAAGCCATGAAAATGTCAAACCCAATTTTCCCAAAATCTGAATAAATTACTTACTCTGAATTTGTATTTAGTCTTTCATCCCAGACCAACAGCGAAAATAAAAATCCATGTTCCTTAAAACCGATTCATAATGACTATTGATATATGTGACCGCATTCAAAACTGGGTTTACTTCTACATGTGCATTCACTACAAGTTGGGCTCGTAATTCAAATTATACATTATCCATTTCCAAGATGTATTTTATACTTATACCAGTTCAAAATTAATTTACATCCAGTTATTCTCGCTTAACTTTTAAACTGATCTGAAGAGATCTATATTCCTGAAGTGAGTTAACACATCCAACAAATACAAACATAATTAATACTTCTGATGATAGCTACATGCTGAATGCAGACCTTCATGAATTAAGACAAGACAGAAGCCTGACTTCCAAATTGATAGAAGAATCACATACTGCACTAAGCTGTATAAACATGTACATACATCTGCTTGATCTTCTCTCAACTCCATTTTTGCCCGCCTTTGGATTCTCCTTTCCTGCATGCTGCAATTTGGTCTGATTCTGCGCATGGTCATTAGACGACTTGTTTCCACTTCTCCTGCCATTCACCACCATGTTCTTGGATTCTCCCAGCCACTTCATTCCCACAGACAGTCTGACTCAGTTGCATTTAGTCACTTTTCAAAAGGCTTGGAGAAGTGGATGAATAATTTCAGTTCCAATTCCTACTGGAAGCAAAACATAAACATGATTAGAACTTACTGGGAAACTGTTTCCAAGACACAGATTTTAACAAAAAGAAAAAAACCAAAACAACCCAACAATAACAAAAGAACACTGCAGAAGGAAGGAAAGATGGTGATCTGCATTTGCATTAGGAAGAAAGAAAAGCAGTTCATTAGCACTAGTACAGGGAACTATTGCAAATGCAGATATCCACAGGTGAAGTATTGTCCTATAACTTACAACCACATCTGGAACCAAAGGTTGAATTCTAAAGCTAATAAATTGCTAAGGACAACTCAATTTTAAGAGCTGGACTACACAAACACATAAAAACCTATGTACTTATATAGACATACATACACATGGATAAATACACACACAGCTATGTGACTCCAGAAATGGAGTATTTTCAAATACACACCCAATTAAGATTATATTCCCTAATAAATAAAATCTGTAACCTGTTTGGAACTCTACAGCAAAGAATGACATTATACAAACATCCTCCAAGAACTAAGGATGAACACAGTTAAAAAACCAACAAAAAAAAAAAACAACCAGAAAATTGACAAAATTTTTGGAATGAGGGTAGGGGAAGATGTTAAATCTTCATTTAAAAATCAGAGTTCAAAAACCCCTCAGAGATGATCTAGAGAACCCAGGCTACTATGTTTACTATTCCATGTAACACAAACACAGTCACAACACACCTGGCTCAATGGGCCAGTAGTAAGTGGGATCACAAGTAGAGCTGAAATTTTATAGTACATAAATGGCCAGCAAAGCACATGCTAGTTTCTACCTGCAGTCTCAATGCCTTTTGCATAAATAATTATAAGAAAGCTACTAATGCTTTTGTACACAGTTGCATCTCACTCTGTATAACCTGCATGAAAAAAAATCCAACATTGATTTACACAATTTTACAATTGCATTTATGCATTAGTAATTAATTTACTTGGTTTTAATTCATCCTCCTCCCTACTGCTTCCTCATAAAGAAACAATAAATTGTGCCTTTTCCTTTTACTGCAATTTAAAAAAAAAAAAGCATTAAGGCTCTGTTCACAGCAGATAACAGGCACCAGGTAGCAGGCACTTCAATCTGGTGGCAGAAATTTGCAACAAACTAACAGATGTTTTGAAATAGTGTCTTTTATAGAAACTCTGTTTTTAATCAGTTGAGTAGCAAAATACTGGATTTCTGTTAGACACCTATGTGATCCAGCTACTTAAAGCTACAGAAACATTTATAGCCAGATGATTAGTAACTAAGTTACTTACAAAGATTCAGAAGATTGATGTATTAAGTCACTTGTCTCTACTGTTTCTCTTAACAGATGTATTGTCTCAAACATCTTACTAGAACTATCATCCAGAAATCTACAGGTTTTAGGACCTTTTACAAATTGTCACAGAAGGGTAGTAAGGTTAATCGACAAAGTGTAACAGAATCCTACTGAGGAAAAGCTGGCTGAACTACTGCCTCAATATAAAGAAAAAGAATTGAGATAATTTCTTCCTTCTTTGAAGGAGTTTTCTTGCTGCCAGTGATAGAAGGGCTTGGCTTTGACCTCAAGATTAAAAAAAAAAAGTTTAAATGTCTATTTTAGGGGACCAGCAAGCTTTAACATAGCTCTTTAACAGAGCTGGAACCAAACAGTTTGACTACCAGAATGCAAAAGTTGCTGTGCATACTGACAAAATTCTTTAGGAAGTTACCAGATACAGCTTTCAGAAAACAAACCAGAGACTTAAAATTTACTAGGGAAAACCCTATTCATTGCATTTAGCTATACGTAGAACGAGACATTTTTACACAGTACCTCCGAAAAACCCCTTGGAAATCTTGCAGCTAAATCTGTATTAGACAACACTAGGCTTTTTTTTTTTCTCTCTTTCTTCATAGAGCTTGCCTGATAGCATACATTTAAAAAGGGGAAAGAAAAAACCCACCAACATAACCAAACCTAAACCCCAAAATTTTCTTGTTAAGCATCCCACCTGAACTTCTTTCAGAAGACAGCTACCCTGTGAAGATCTGCACTGAGTTAAACACTTAATGACAGACTCATTCTTAAACTTCCTTCTTTCTGCTTCTCAATCAATTCATTTTACAGCTCTATATACTCTAATTAAACCCCATTCCCTGTTTTTTGTAACAGTGGTAATAAAGAGTATTAAAAGAGAAACGACATTAAAGATTTCAACTACATTCAGTCTCCATCTCTTTGCAAACCAGGACTGAACTATACTCTGTAGTGTGCTACAGTTCAAGAGCAGTACAGGTAAATGAAGTCTACCATGAAGTCCAATTGTAGATGAATACTGGTATGCAACAATCTGGAGGAATACCATTCAATACGGTAGTGTTTCTGACGACTAACAGGTATGGTTGCTACACTTTCAGCTGGATAAATGCGTACTCCACACAAAGACGGTAACCGATCTTTCTTAAGTCCAGTTTGGGAAGGTGAGTACTATCTGTGCTAACACACTTCTGCCTAACAAATACAGTAATGACAAGGAAAGAACGATAGCAAAGGTAAGAAGGACTGTGGCCACAGAAGAATACTCAAGCCATACTAAGCATTAGGAAAAATACTTGGGTTTGTTGCAAAATATATTGATATCTATAGATGACAACAGAAGTCCTCCCCAAGCAAAACTGAAAGTCATTTAGTGAAGCCTAGCAAACATTCTTGTGAAAAATCATTATTTATTTGAGCCTAGCAGCCTAATGAGGAAGAAAACCTTTGTCTCCATCTACTGCTGCCTTTTATTTTCTAACACCAGCCAAATTACAAACTTGAAGACTGCATGAGTGCTTCTTCAGCCTCTATTCCCTCTCCCAACACTGCTTTCAAGAGACAGTTTCAAAAGCTAGAACCAACAGACAGGATTCCTCTCCCAGTGAATATCACAGCTCCTAACGCCAACAGATAACCTAAAAGGGAGCAAGAGATGTCCCGCTCATCACCACCATGTGATTTGCTTTCAGTACTTTCTACATCAGATTCATGCTGAAAAGTCCTTTAGGAACGAAGGGAGAAAAGGAGGAGATGAACACCATCTTCCTATTCAAGAAAAAACTGGGATATACTTACACCTCCACATACTTAAAAATTCCTGCTAAAGGGCTCCACCATCAAATAATATAACACCACACATGGATCCCTTATGACTTTGGGTTTATCTACACTGTTAAGTTTACCAGCACAATTACAGCTTCCAAGGGACCTTTTTTATTTCAATGTAAATGTCCACATTGCTGTTTTAACCCTTTATTAACCATACCACTACCCTTCATAATTATACTGCCTTTTATAATTCTATTATGGTAGTTTTACAGACACTTTTCTAAAATGTCAAAATATAGCTCAATCGCATTCAGCACCTCTCATTGAGAAATTTAGCATTTCATTGCAACGGTACTCTCAAAACCTAAAACTCAAGTTTCATTTACCTGGTTCTAAATTTATTAAACCTATTAAAGACACCTTCTGAGCATTATTTGCATTTCAGTAACATTTGGAAGCACCTATCAACAACTGAAGCATAAACATGATTAATGCTATCATAGCCTAAGATATTCGCAAAGCCAGATTTATCCAGAAGTGTTTACCAGAATGATTAAACAGTACCAATCAGATATATATCACATATGAAAAGCCTTAGTCCTTTTATACTGAGAAGTGTAGTAAATCCCTATGAATTTGAGTAAAGAAATTCTATGGCTGTTGGATCTCAAAAGCTGTCTGCGCCTCCCAGGTTTTGGGCTCTCATCTGTGAAATCTATCAATTCAGAGAACGCTTGTTGTGATGGGGAAAAAAAAGCTGCACAAAACCAAATCAATAAAACCCTAAACCATACAAACACATACATCAGTAACCCTAAGAAATTCAAGTATCATTTATTTTAGTCTTCTGTAACACAGTTTTGGCATATAAATGTATACTGCTTAAAACACAGGGACAGCTTCTGAACAGAGGCACTGGATTTTGTACATCCCTCTCCAGGACACAGGCAAAGGCACTAGGATCAGGAGGTTTCCTAGCAGGCGGGGTCATACTCCCCTTTCCTATTGCCCAGTACACAGGCAGTCAAAGGACCTTCTAAAATACAATTTCTTATTTTTTTTTTAATTAACTCAAGCATCTAAACCAGTTTTGGGATTTTTTTTTTTTCCTTTTTAAATTAACTATAGCTGCAAGAAGTCTTCCTCAACAAGACAGTGGCCTAAAGCAAATACAGGACACAAAACCAAAACACAAGACCACAGCCTCAGCTTTTCCGGACAAATCAACAGCATTAAAAGAAAATATGTATGTTTCATTACTGATAGCTCTAAAAAAAAAAAAAAACCAACAGACCTTTTAATTTGGGAAGCAGACCAAAACTATGCAACCAGTTTTTCTATAAGATCACCAGGCTGTAAACGATTTCACTACAGCCACCCCATCTGCGTAACAAGAAAATCCCACCCACTCCTAAAAAGTGTTCAAGTTTCTAAGAATACAAAAGACTCTGAGCAAAATCAAAGCTGAATTAAAACTTGCACAGCTTTAAGGGGTTATTCAAAACAGCCTCAAACCTTATTTCGGCTACTGTTTTTGACAGCTCAGACAAGTACCATTAAGCCAGAGAGGAAAGGGAGGCACAGAACGCTTCTGGCTCACAGAAGGTGTGAAGCCAACGCACAGTGTCACTTTAAACAGGAACCTGATGTTCTGTGTTACACTACAAATTATTAGTGATGATACTAAAACACAGCAAAACCAGCTATGGAAGAGAGGTCTGTGCAACCACAGAAGGTGACAAAAAAAAGAAGGTATTTGGGAGTTTTCTCTCCCATAATCTCTGTAGTCAAAGCTCTATCTTAAAGAAAGGTCAGGTGGTCCCACAGGACTTCAAAGATTCTGGAGTTGAGGCTGCAATTCTTCAACAGGATAAAAGCTACCTAGGAAGGGCTACTTCAGTCCCACCTCTGCAGATGCTTATTTCAACCACCTGATTTCAGATCCACTTTTGACTTCCTTTGCCCCAGGATGAACTGGTTCAGTAAATTAAACCACCAGGAAAAAAACCAAACCAAACCAAAAAAACCCCAACAAAACAAAAACACCCAACAAAACCCCCTGTTTTTTGAGTGTTTCTTTTCAGCTAGTTAGCTCTCAGAACGAGCTCAGTCCAGAATTGGACATGGATTAATAGTGGCACATGGGAGGATGTAAGACTATGTCAAAACTAACTCAGGTCAGTTCAAACGTTTGCAGAACTGCAGCCCCAGGATGCAGGTTTGTGAGAGCACACATGGATCCAAACCTGACCCAAACCCAGGCTTCAATGCCCCACCAATAGCTCAGTCTGTACTTTCCCACTTTCTCTTGTGCCAATTCTTTTGCAGCCATGTGATTTTTGTGTGTCAGTTTGGATACTAATCCAAGCACAATGCAGGCACAGAAGCAACGGTGTACCAGTACAAATAAGTGGCAGAGGCAATGCACATACAGAAGTGCTTCAGCAGCTCCTGCCCCTTCTCCTCTTTCCTACCCCAGCTCCTCCCCCCCTTCCTCCACCTGGTGCCCCCTCAGGGTGAGGCTGAATAACTGGCTGAGCAAAGCACCCTAAAGGCTGTGTGATCTCCCAACTCACTGCAGCAACACCAGTGTTCAGCAGACTTTCACAGAGACAATCCAAAAGCTCACTGTTTCTGGGAGAGGGAGAACCTCCTTCCTCCCCCTTGCCAATTCACACAAACTTTTCCACCAATTCTGGAGTTCAGTGGACCTCTCCATAACTCAATATAACGTCATTAATCCAAGAGGGGGGAGAGCAGGTAATTTTCTGCTGGTTTAATGTGCTGAGCAGATTCAGCAAAGGATCCAGTGGGCACTAGAGCAAGAGAGGATGCAGTACTGGAGGAGCAGCAGCAGGACCACTGAAAGGGGAAGAAGTATCAGCTGTTGTAACAGGTTAGCTATGAGACTTACACAGGTTCAACTGAACCTAGCAGTTCAGGGCAGTCGCACCATGGCTGGCACAAACAGCACTACAGTTCAATGAAGACTTCAAACCAGCCTAACCCCAAAAGCAGCCCTGCTGCTCCCTCGCCTGCTTATGCCCACTTACATGCCATCCTCCCTCTATACCAGCAAAACAGCTGCAGAGCCAAGTGGTGACTGAATCAGGGGAGTCACCAGAAAAGTCTGAACCTTGCTGGCTTGAACCATGGTGCAAGAAGACGTTACAGGAGGGTGGGGGGACAAGGTCAGGGAAGTGGTCAGGAGCACTTAAACTGGGACTGCTCCCAAATGCTTTGCATTCTCAAACCACAGCTCTGGATTCACTGTTTAGCACAGAAGTATCATACCTTACACTTACTATGTTAATTTGGGCGACTGTTGTATTAAAGCACAATGCTGTTTGAAGTGAAAAGAATACTGGGAATTGTAGTCCTGCAGTAGGATAGTGCTAACAAAGCAAAACAAGTATTCTAGAGCCCTGTTCAGTCCTGTTACTGAGTGTACAAGGACACATCATCCCACTTACTCATTTAATATGCAATGCACTAAGTAATTACTTCAAATAAATCTTATTCTCCAGTTTGCGAACTCAAATGGGTATAAAGCAGAGATGTTTGTACATGTCTGTCTGGCTCTAACAACAAAATAGCACAACAAACAAACAAATCCCATTTTTCAATCAAGTAAGTTTTGATTTCCTCACAGTGTTACTTGCAAGGAAAAAGGCTTAAAGAATTCAAGACAAAAGTTAATTTTTAATTAAAATGGAAGAGGATGCATCCATAGCTATAGTGACCAGATCATGGAAACAGGGCATGACTTGGCTCTCTGTGAACTTACTCTATAGTACACTTTAACCTCATTGATTAAAACCTCCCACTACGTATTTATAGTTACACTATTAAACACTCTGATCAGATAGCCATCTCATACGTGTCACGCTGCACTGAATTCAACCCACCAGAAAACTACACCAAGTTATATACTGAAAATTCTCATGCTGCCTGTGATACAACTCAACAAAACACCACATACTTTCTCTCTCACCCCCCATCTTTACTTTTTCAGAGAGTAATGTGTTGAAGATAATTTGACTTTAAACTTTCAGATACAGATGCCGGACAAAGATGTGCTTTACCCCTTCCTTAAAAGCATACATTCCCCAATGAAAATACACAAAAAACCCGCAGGATGTTAGACTTTCGATCTAACGAAGGCAGCAAGCTCTGAGACCGGAGCGGTCACTCAAAACAGACCTTAATAAAAACCAATCAGTAGGAACACGGCTTAAAACTCCTATTACGGCTCAAACAGAGGAAAGCCGTGCCGCCGGGACCACTAACCACTGAGCACCAGGAGCGCCACGAACTGCCAGGTAGCTAACAGCTTCCTCCCCCAGCTCCCCACACGCCTCCCTAGGCTGAAGCTACCGCACAAAACCCAGCGAACGACCGAGGGGGAAGCGGGCGGCGGAAGGCAGCGGAGCGGGGCCGGGCCGGGCCGGGCGGCGCCGCCCCCCCAGCCGCCTGCTGCCCCCTAGGGCTCGCTTCCCGCCGGCGGCG